CTCTGGCCTATGCCTATTACTTTTGGCATAAAACTTTGTCCTCTTCAGTGTTGACTTCTTTCATTTCGCTTTTGGGTTGCCAACTTTTGCCAGACATTCTCGCATCCTGGAACGTTTGCCTCCTTCGACTGCTGCTGCTGCTGTTGTTGTTGTTGTTGTTGTTGTTGTTGTTATTCGCAGTTTCTTTTCTACAGTTTGCGAGTTTATAAAAGCATCGGCTGGGGGTTGGGGCTAGCATTTTGGGCGTGGCACCTTTGGCGTTTTAATTACGCAAAAACGCTAAAGTTTTCGTAAAAGCGAATGCAAATTAATCGATATCGTTTAAGTCAATGTGACGCCCACAAAAGCCCACAATTCGGTAGCATTTGATGTTATTTTTTTAATGGGATCGAGCAGGGAGTTAGCGTTAAATCTTCACAGAGCATTAAATTGGAATGCCGCGCAACAAGGCCTAGACATAGAAACGGCAATTAAAAACAAAACAGTATTCATCTTCTACCGTCTGTTTATATATGCTAATTAATTGGCCTTTAGCCAAGTAGCCGAGTATCCGAGTAGCTAAGCGCTGCAGCCGAAAGTGAAGGGAATCCGCGTCGAGTATTGAGCAGCCCTCGATGGAATTTCAAAAAATGATCAACGTTCATGGAGACAAACAAGCGAAGCGGCTGCCAAAACTGAAAACAACAACAACAACAACAACGACAACAACAAGAAGAAGAAACTGGCCCACAAAACTTTGCCTAATGAGATTTTTCAACTTATGACAAGTTATGCTAATTCGGCGACGGCTGCCAAAACGTATCACATAAGGCAACACTGCGGGGGCGCAGAAGTTGCTATTGTTTAATACACACCAACTCCCTCCACACCAGCACTCCCCCTCCCCCCTCCGCTTCTTCTTCTTCCACTTGACTGCCATGGGAAGCGCTTAGCAGCAATACTTGTTACTCTGACCCAGTCCATAATGTAATAATTCAATGAAAACCTCTTAAGACTGAAGACTGTTTGCGGCTGAGGTGTTGCTGTTTCGGTTAAAAGATCTCTGGGAATTTGGGTCTTATGTGTGTGGTTATCAGCTCAAAATAATTGTAATTAACTTTTATGGAGTGGATGCAAAATATAGATTGAAAATAATTTAATTTAAGCCCGATAATATTTGGCTAGCACAGTATAGAATATATGCCAATTAATAAATAAATACAAATAATAAATGAATTCAAAAAATTCTGCTTAGCATTAAAAAAGCTATGATACTTACCAAAGTTTCATAAAGTTTCATACAAAAAACAGCTAAGCCAAAAAGCTGAACTGAACTAAACATTTTCTCTGCTACAGTTTCCCAGGCTTTGGTTCAATATAACATAAAATTTGTGAGGAAGACCCAGCCATAAGGCATAAATAGCTCGGGCCTCAACCTACGCATTTGTCTAACCATTTTTGACGTATGTCAATTTTGGAAAGAGAACAAATTTAGCGCGCAACTCGTATATGAAAATATTTACAGCTTGCAATAATTTCAATAGAACGGGCGCAGCTGCCAATTAAAAAAAATTTAATAAATTTCTTTAAAATTAAGAATATGTTTGATAAACCAAAGCTAAAACCAAAACCAGAATTTTAGAATGTGGAAAAGTAGTCAACAAATTCAACCTAAAGATAGGAAGCTGCTGTCAACTGTGAGCCAAAGCGCAACTTAAACAAAATGGAATTGCGTACATAAATCAAGCTTTAAATGTTAAACAAAAAATGTTCAACTCTTTATATTTGAAATTCAATTAATACTCATAGAAGTCAACAGGGTAAAAGTTTTCGCACTCTTAAAAAACCTGTTTGCCATATTTTTAGGTTCTTAATTTAAGCGTTCACAATGTCAACAATAAGTTATTGTTAAAAGGCGATTACATAATATCGCTTATTAGATAAATGTCACATGGGTATATGTATTGCTAATTATTGGCAAACAAATTAGCTTACAAATGTGCGAAGCCAATCGAAAACAAAATCTAAATCTAAAGGCTAAAATTAAAACGTGTTGTTAGCAATGCGTGGGTCGCTAAAAAAACTTGGTTGTTTCAAGAAATGCTCAAGAAAACAAACATTAAGACTCGAAACCAAACAAACCTGCTGGCAACCTATAAATTTGTGCTACTTGCGAGATGCCACGCCCACAAACAAACGCACACACACACGAATGCTGGCATTAGTAATGCGCATTACGTATACGCAACTTTGCCGCAGCGCTAAAACGCATTTAGTTAATCGCGCAAATGCTTTTAATAAATATGTTTCTTGCCTGGTATATTTGTTGTCATAATAGCCAATAAACCAAGCATACGCACACACTCACACACCGGCACACACACACATGTGTGTATGTGTGTGTGTCTCACTTCAGTGCAAAGCAATGACACAAATGTTTTATGGCCCCGTCAGGCAGCGACAAGTCCTTCTGCCACTCGCACAAAAGCAGGCAAACACAACCATTCACAGTCACACGCACACGCGCACACACGCACACACACTCATTCGCACACACTCACACTTGAGTGTTTATTTGTCGGCTCGTTCTTGCTTCTTGGCTCCACGAAATGCATTTCTAATTAAGTTAATTGCGGCAAATGCTAAACTTAAGTCACTAACCTAAATTAATAAAAGGCTGCGCAACTGCCATATGAAAGCTGCTTGGCTGTGTGTGTGTGTGTGTGCGTGTGCGTGTGTGAATGCCAGCCAGGATATAAGTTACTGCTATTGGCTGTGGCATGCCCTACAGCAACCGAGGATCGATAGGAGTCGATTAGCTTGGCTTGAAGCCTAAATTAGAAATAAATTAATGCACCTGAAATATTTGATAGACCTTAAGCCCCAACGCGCTTTCATAAGCTTTAATGTGCTTTTATAACTAAAGCTTAAAGCTTGACAGAGCAGGTATTCAGAATAATTAGTGAAGCCTAAAGCTTTACAAGGCCTATAAAGGTCTTTGGTGTATGAGAAACACAAGCTGAAAAGCTTCAGCTTAGCATTCATCTATATTAACAGCTTAGAGCTTCCATGTGCTTTCAAAAATTTCGCTTAAGGCTTGAACAAGTGTGTACTAAAGCAATACAATCACTTGTATGTAGAAAACATAATATAAATCACTTTATTTGATGTGCTTAAAGCTTGCACATGAATTAGCTTAATACATTTAATTATGTTCAGAGCTTCAAAATGCTTTTAAAGCTTAGTCAAGTGCTGGAAGTATATTTACACTTTTCAGTGCTTACAAGACATTACGAAAATTCGTTTAAATGCTGCACAACCCAGCTTCAAGTGCGGTTTTATGTGCGCAATGGATTTACTGTGCTTAGATAAAATTGTATTATTATAATATTTGAGGCAAGCGGATTATCCCATTGTAGCTTTTTTTATGTTAACACTCTAACTAAGCTACCCGCTGCAAGTGGCTGTAGCGCATCAAATGTTGCTTCGTGTGGCGCGTCTTGTTGTAATTTCATTTAATAACTGTTTTGTTGTTGTTTATGAAACATTTGCCGACGGCTGTCGGTTCATTTCACACACCAACAACACCACAATACACACACACACAGTAGTTGGCTTTGAGAGCCGGAAGTGAGCAGCGCGCGCGTGTGTTGTCGGACTGGCAGCAGCAGCGGCAGCGGCAGCGGGGCAAGGACAGAGAGGAGGACAATTGGACAACTGGGCGCCGCCTGTGGTGTCAACGATGCCATTTGGTTTGGTTCAGTTCGGTTTGGTTTGGTTTATTGTTCCACTTTTCATGTCAAAGTTATTGTAATTGTGTTAAGGCATTTCCCGTGTATATCCTATACACACGCACACGCACACGCACATACACACATATGTACGTGCAGTTCAGGCTTGTGATACGCTTAGCTATAAATAAAAATCGGAGCAGCGCCGCAAGGCAGAGCAGACACTTGTTTGACTTTGGCTCAGGCGCCATGTTTTTTGCCGCTCTCACGTCACGTCGCTCCTCGTTGTCCTCCCTATACCCCCCTCCCCGCCCACCATCCACGCCCTGCACTCCGTGGCCTTATGCGGATGTGTCTGTGTATTTTTTAACGCACATCATTATCATTCCGTTTGTATTTTGAACGGGCGCCCAGCAGCTGCGAGCAGGCGAACCTCAAGTGGGCCGCAGCTTTGGCCACCCACCCAACCACCCGACCCAACGGCGCCCCGCATCATCCCACCCCTTCGCACACCCACTCAGAGCACACACATACAAAAGGACGAGCAAATAAAGGAAAAAGCTTATGGTTTTTGCTGTTGCTGTTGCGCACTCTCTTTCTCTTTTCCTTATTCTCCATCTCCATCTCTCTCTTGTTCACTCGTTGATTTTTGTTAGATTTTTGTGTGGGCTGCTCGGAGTGGTATATAAGCCAATGTATGTGTGTGTGTGTGTGTGTGTATTTGTATATACACTCCGAGTACAAATAACAAAAGGATACAACAAACTCTGAACAGAAAGTTTTGACACTTTTATACTTGGCTTGCAGCGACCCGAAACCAACCCAATAACCTGCCCCACACCTCCAAATTTTCTGGGTTTGAGCGTGTGGAGGGGTGGGGGGTGCAAAAAACTGTTTTGGGGTGTTTAATGGAGCCTGGCGCGTTTGTGTTTTCAAAAGTCGAGCACATGAGGAGGACTTGTGTGAGTGAGTGTGTGTGTGTGTGTGAAGGGAAATGGGTCTATTTGGGCTAATATCATTGTAACTTATGATATTCATATGGTATTATTGCTTCTAGGCAAAAGCATTCAAAGGCAAGCGCGCTTGGATGCTTTGAAAAATTTAAATCGTAGAGTTTTTTATGCTTTTAACTATTATTACACATTGCTGATCATTTGGGCCTGCCTTAAATAGACACCTATTTCAGATTTACCTAACTGACTATTTTAATAATATTTGGGTAAATGGGGAAACATTTAAACTAAATCTTGATGAGGCAAACTGTTGCTTAATGTTTTTTTATTAAGATACCTGAGCTTGTTGATGAATAATATCATTATAGTGTCTTTGGCTAGACCCCTTCAATGACATGTCCTTTAGAATGTCAAGTGAGCTTTTAACAGGACATCAAATAAGTAACCAATGGGCATATTGTCAAGCATCATATTTATGTTTGCTTTAAGCAGTATATAATTTCTACAGGAACAAATAATTAAATTATTATTATTATTAATTAAATTATATATGTAAATTAAAACATAGCTCTTACCCGCTGTAAAAATTTCATTAAAGTTGAAAATGTATTCAAACGTTACATTAACTTTTCTTATTTTTTTCCTTTGATATGTAATCGTTTTCAGTTTTAACTATTTATCATGTTTTCAAATTCATTTTTGCACTGTACTTAAAAATGTTTTATCTCGCTTTTTCTTTTAAAAAAAATTTGGTTTACCTTCTCTTAATTAAAGAGAGTTTTTATTTACGCAAGCTAACGTACACATACATATACATATGTATGTATATGCCATCCATCAACAAAAACGCTATCTTTGATCAAATGCGGCGAATTGATGTAACGAAAAATAGGGCGCAAGAACAAAAATATAAAAAAAACACATTGTTGGCTGAGCTATCTCTTTTTTTGCACTAGTTACGCTCTCACTTTTTTGTTTCTTCCTTACGCACGCTTAATTTGCTCTCATTGCTAATAGCGATCGCCGCAACACAAAAAAAGGAAAAAGAAATGCGCAATTGAAAAAATAAATGCGGTTTGCTTAAGCTGACAAAAAAAAAATGGTATAAACTGAGACACAATTAAATTGTACAAGAGTTGCGTGTCTTTGCGACATCTCTTACGCCGATGGCGATCAAGATGCAGCTTTTCTGGCTGTGTTCAGCACTATTTTTGACCTGTTTTCTGGTATGAGATATTAATTAACATATGTTTCTTATGCTTTCTATACGTTATCACTGAATATGACTATTTTTGGCAAATAAATGAAGAACTACAAAAAAACACCGGGTTAAATATGCAGCGCCGACGTTTGCTGCTAAGAAGCGAATTATAACTAATTCGGCGAAACTGCAGCGCCGCTATTCGCTCCCATAGAATGCAATATATATACATACATATGTAGGCGGCGAATTCGATTTAATGCTGCGAGCGTAATTAAACGATTTCCAGAGGGAACATATGATTTGTACGTGACAGCATAAGAGGTGAATTGAAGAATGGGCGTCCAATTAACATTTTCGCCTTTGCAAATAAGACCAAGTGCCAATGCAATAATTACACAGGAAAACAGAAATTTCATCTATGGAACAATAGCTACATAGTATGTATGACACCTACATCAAAGTAGTCTATTTCTATATACATACATATATATTCGCCATTTACATAGCGCACACAACTGATTTTACTTCAATATACTTTGTAGAAACACGATAGACGCGATGATCTCCAACACGAATTCTTTTAACATAAGGCACTGCTATGGGGGCTTTAACTATGAGAACTACTTGCGGTAAGAGACATTTACACAACAACTTGTTCAATTTTATACCCAGAAAGATCGTCTACAGCAACGCAGAGCTGATGCAGACCGGCTTCCATCCGCCGCTGCCGTTTAACAGTGGCACCACAGTTGTGGGTCTGCACTTCAACAAGGGCGTCATGATTGGCACTGACACCAGGGCAACGCGCAGGAATATAGTCAGCTCGGCTGAGAGTCCAAAGATTCGTCGCCTGCACAACAATATATAGTAAGTGTGAAATTTGTGACAGAGCTGATCAATTAACCCACTCATCCATGCCTAGCTGTGGGGGCAGTGGCTATGCCAGCGATCTGGAAAATTTAACGCAATTGCTGGGAAAGCAGCTGGAGCTGCATTATAGGAGCATCAATCAACGGCATGTGCCCGTTGTCTGCGCCAAGCAACTCACCAAGGAAGCCCTGATGCAACACTTGGGTCGAATTATGGTCAGCTTTGTGCTCGGCGGCGTGGACAGGTCTGGCGCGCATCTTTACAGTGTGCACTTCGATGGCACGTCTGAGAAGTGCTTGTATAACTCTGTTGGATCCGGACAGTTTGGAGCCATGGGCATACTAGAGGATCGCTGGCAGCTCGGCCTGGAGGAGGACGATGCACGCGAACTGATGGTCGATGCCGTCACCGCCGGCATTAACAATGATCTGGCCTCCGGCACTGGCGTGGATCTGTGCATCATACGCACCGACTACACTGTGGAGCTATGCAGCGAGGTAGTATATGGCTCCTTAAGGACTGACAGAGATAAAATACCAGACAAAGAGCGTAGCATGGTGCTCATACGCGAAAACGTGCTGCGTTGTATAGAGATTACTGAGGAAAATGTGATTCCCCTAAAGCCGGTGACGCCAATGCCGACCACGACGCCACCGCCAAAGCCTCCGATTAGACGAGATGAAGTTCGGAGAACGGTCGCGACAATGCGGCTTCATCGCAAGCGTAACGCAGAAGACTTTGACGACGAGGGACCGCCCAAGAAGAGAAGAAGCTTATCGATATAATAAGGACATTTATGCATATATGAATTAATGTACCATAATTTTTAAAACCGTACAATTGATCAAATAGATATATGTATATATGAGCATATAAACCAATAAAAAAATTAATTACGTGATACACCCAATTCATACCATATTTAATTACTCCAATAACAAACACACTTACCTTTATGCCTGAGCAGTGTTGGTAACGGCTTAAGCCTTTTTAGTTACGTTATCGATACCGATTATTGTCCTTATCCAGTGTGGGTAAGTGCTCATTTCTCCGGCTCGGCTTGAAAGCTTTGACGGCGGTTTTCCTATTGCTTACTTTTTATATTGTGTATTTAATGACATTTATGTACTTTATTCTCGTTTTTTTTTTTTGGTTAACAAAATTGATGTACATAAAAAAGTTTATTTTGTGTTGGCTCGCATTGCACATAAAATTACATAATTTGACATTGCCAGTTGCCCATCGATCAGCGCATATTTCATGTTAGTTTCTCGTTCCTTATTTGTTAATTAATGCTTTTTGTTATTTGAGAAGCCATACTCTTTTCCGCATTGTTATTGCACTAGAAGTGAGTTGAATTTTGGAAATTTTCTTACATTTATCATACTCTGTACAGGTAAAAGATTTTTACATTTCTGTTGCTTGGGAGTTGTCTACAAATCCGTTATAATCAATTGTTCAGCTATGTATGTGGTTTCTCATACATACATATTCACCTAGTTATTTTCTCATACGCGTTACCCGGACCCAGCATATTCGCGATATAATTATGTTGCTGATTTTAAAAATGTTTTCTTAATTGTTAAGTATATATCTTATTGTTTTTCCATTTGTGTTGCTATTTATTTTCTTTTAATTTTTTAATTAATATATTTGTTGAAGTTTTATTGTATAAGCAGCCTGTAGATTTGCTCAACGACGGTTTTTAGACGCTAGAGGTGAAGTTTTGTCTTCTTTTGATTTATACAAAGTTTTTAAAACGATTTTCAAACGAAAAGCAATCCAAATTTCATACTAAACTTAACTTTCATTCACCAAACATCTTACATACACGGTGTAAAAATACAAAGTAATCATATTGATTGGCTAGAAATTATATACACATCTGGTATATAACTCACCTGCCGTTTCTATATGTATATAAATATATCAATCATTTTCTATCGTTTTTTGTTTTATGTTTTTTTTTTGTTTTGCTGTTGCGCTACTTAAGATTATTGTACAAGCAAATCAAACGAAACATTTTCAATATTCCAAAAAAAAAATGACAACGAACAACTCGTCAAAACAAAACATGGAACCACTCGGGGTCTTGACCAACTCTTCCCTTACTCCAGCTGCCGCTAGCGTTCCTCTACTGGTACTCGTCGTCGCTGCTTAGCAGCATCGTCTTCTCGTTGTAGTTCTGGCTTATGGTGGCCACACGCTGTCCGCCCGGAATAAATTTACGCTGATTTCCGAGCGTCTTGGATGCCACACAGCTGTTGTTGCCGCCTCCGGTAGCCACCGCATTGTATCCACCGCTGCACGCATTTGAGGCGCCCATGGAGGCCGCTTGGTTTCCGCCACCGCCGCTGTTTGGATCATCCGGGTCGTAGCTGGAGATGCGTATGCCTCGAGAGTTCTTGCCACCTGCACGAATTAGTTATTAGCCAATGCTCACATAAGCAGATAAGTTGGAATTACAACAGATCGAAATTCATGCCTTGTAAGAGAACATGCAAAATGCGGGTTTATAAACATTTGCAAGCAAAGTAAATGCGATGCTTTTAAGCTTATTGTACATTTATTTAATATAGATAATTTATAGATATTTTATACAATTTGTTTAAACATTTACAAAAAGTTATAAAAAAAAAAACACATATGCACGCGAACTTAAAATGCACGAGCTTTCGATTTGAGTCTATCACAAAAAAAGGAAATCAAAAAGCAAACAATGTTTTTCTAAATGTTTTGTTTTTGGTATCTTTGAGCTAACGGATATTGTAATCGAAAGATCTTTAAGTTCGTATATAAAAATTTAAATGCGTTCATAAGCTAAGTGTAAAAAACCGCAAGAAACTGAGCGTTGCTTGAAGATTCTGATATAAAAATTCCACAAAATTGATAAGTACAAATTGGATATCTATGCTGTCTAAAATGCGTGTTAATCTGGGCCCATTTTTAGTACAAGCTAAGCTCCATTTAAATCTGTTTGTATTGCCAGTTCTACAAATAATTACATTCGTATATAATAATAAAATCTTTGTTTACACATACATAATATTATACAATATTACTCATATATACATACATATAGATATATATATATATATATATATGTATATATAGTATGTATAGTAGAATGCTAACATTTAAATAAGTTGATAAAAGACTTAAATCGTAACATAAGCATAATTTAAAAAATACACAAATCAGCAGAGGGATGTTCAAGGCATGTCTTTTAAAGGTTTTAGAGTACATAATTCAGATACATAAAGTTCTAAGGTAACTAGGCAATTTCTGTTTTGGGTTTTCGAGTGCGCGCTTTCTGTAAGTAACTAGGCCTAATACGTATTTAATTGTAAATCGTTTGTTTTTAGTTTATCTTTAAGCGGCAACAAAAGGCAATTGTGGTGTCAAATTGTAAGCCTATAATAAGCTATAAGTACACT